CAATACAGATACTCAACAATTCTTGCTAAACATTCCCAGGTTTCAAAATGTTCTTCCGAAACAAGGCCTCCCAAAACTACTTTCGAGATGGGGAATGCAAACTTTTGAAAGTCTTCAGCTTTCCAGTACCCTATTCTTGAAAGCCTGCTCGGATTTCGAGAAGAAAGAAATTCTGCAGTCCAGGGCACTTTAAATAGTCTTTCTTGAAGTATTTTCTGATCCAAAAGTTGATTAGATAGAAGGAAATTAAGGTTATTTCTTACAACTCCAAGGGCAACCGTGTGCATAACATAAAAAAAGACAGTGTTTGCGGTAATCAAAACCATATAATGCATGGAGACGATGAAGCACAGACAAACCAGTAAATCCTGATTCTTTTGCCATTTCCTGAGCTACAGTTCTTCTTTCTTCCTGTTCAATTAATTGCAATGTTTCAAGTTCATCATGAATGTTTCTTTTTGGCCATGGATACCTTGTCGATTTTTGGTAATTTCCATAGTAATAGTGATTACTACCAGGATCCAAGATACTTCCACATTTGCAGCGTCGACAAGGGTTTTTTCCACAAAAAATTCCCTTACAAACCTCACAAATAGCAACATGGTCCCCAGTAACACACAAAATAAGATGCCTTAATTTTGCAGGCCCAGAGGGAAGTTAGGCAATGTAAAGCTATAATTATCAACTGCGATGCCATTGACAAATCCATCTTCAATTTCATCAAGAAGAGGTGACAAAAATGGATCCAGAGATATCGGCCTTCTTTCTCACAGCAAATACGCAGGCACAAAACCGACAACAAATATCTCAGATTGTTTTTGTCTGTCTTCCTTGGACATATTAGCTATCTGAACTTCAATAGCTCCAGAGCCATGATTGTATTTACCATCAAATGGCTGAAATCCATCCCAATGAAGAATGTACGCTAAGTTTCTTGGATCTCCAGTTGCTTTCTGGATAACATGGGGGAAAGTGACTGCACAGGATAAACAGGTTACCAGCTTTTGTCCATCATTTCCATCAGGAGAAGAATTGATATCTTGGACTGAGACAACCCCACCACAATTATCACATTTGGCAGGTAATTGCCACTCTTCCCCAGGATTCCAAAACCACTGAAGCTCTGAGAAACGTCTTCCATCCCATATCTCACTTTTGCATGTGAAACCCCAACCATCTTGATTTTCTTGTCCAAGCCAATGATCCTTTTCAAACCAGTGTGACAGCATTTTTTTGCAAAACAAAGGATCACTTGCCCAGAGGTTAATCTTAGGACCTAAGCCAAGATAGTAGTAAGGAATAGTTCCCTTTTTGTTACAGTGAGGACATAAATCATCTTCTGATGACATTAAACCAAAGTGACATCTGTGGCTCTCATCAAGGCAAATTATGTACTTTTTAGCATCCCTGTAGCTGACAGAATGCAAAAGTACCTCTGCATCTTTCCAACATTTTGGCCACAAATGTTGATACTGCTCACTAAATCCCATCATGAATAGTTTCTTTCCCCAGTCCAAGATATGATCAAATCCAATGTTTGACAATTTTAGTTCAAGCTGCAATTGTAGAGCATCAAGAATTACATCTATTATTTGCTCAGTTATTGTTCTGGTTGGGTCTACATCACCTGCATGAACGTGTAATTCATTCCATTCGTTTTCTTCAGGAGTACCAGAATCGAGACTATCCCCGAATGTGTCTGAGTAATCAAACATCTCTTGATCTTGGTCCACGGCTTGTAAAACTTCACTAGATGATGACTCCTCAAGGCCTTCTATTTCCTCTTCGTGCAAGCCTAAATTTCCAGTTACCCTTGAACTGCTATGTTCACGCTTACGATGTCTGAATGCGGTCGCTCTTGAGACAGGCATGCCGTTGCAATCGTTGCAAGCACAATGAACATGCTCTGACTGGGAATCCTCGCAGATACAAATACAAATTTCCCAGGTTGTATCCGCGCAAAACGCCATAATTTGTCAAATATCGAGTTTTCCTTGATTGCCTCTTAAGTTAAAAGAGGGTTTCCCTTGCCTTTCGAATGATGCATGAGGAGCATTTCGAATTATGCACAGAACTTTTTCCTGTAACACTCGATCGTGCGCGCTCATCCGCCATATTGAAATTGAGCCGACGGTGAAAATATCAGCGGAGATGTAAATTACCGAAAACGTGACTAAACGCCACCAATGAGAAACGTCCGAAGAACAGAGGCGGGGAAATTAGCCACTCAAGAGAGGTAATATATTACAAAAAACATTCTCGCGCGCTTTTTTTAGCATTCAGTTAAAGGAAATGGTGGGCGAACACAGTGAGAGTCGTTCTCGTGCTTTTCTAACACCAAGACTTTCCTCTCCCGACGATTGTTTCTCATCCCAAATGGACAGCCCTGAAAGTGGAGACACTGATGATGCAGGGGTGGATCCAGGGTAGTTTACCTGATTTCCGGAACTCACTCAAATTTTTTCCAACCTAGTTAAATGTTGATAAAAGTACTTTTGGAAAACACTCTCATTTCCCTTTGGAAACTACTGATACTTTTGTGGAAATCACTAAACGTCTTCCAGAAATAAACCATCTTCCTGTTTTACAGTTATTTACTAAAGAAAATACGTTTAGAATGACTAATTTCGTTATAATTGCGGTCATGAGGCGTTCGGGAGCGCTCCGGATCACGCGCTGGCCTTTCGAGCTTCGATTACACCTCGGAAACCGTCGGAAGCCGTCGGAAAATGTTCGTGGAGCCAATCTTTACGCAACCGGTGGGTGTAAGTCCTTGTTATTTGGTGACAATAACAGGCGGAACACAGTCAAAACCCCTCACGATTGCCTAGCAAAGATTTCGTCATCGGAACTCACTCAAAACACTCTTCTGATTGGCTAGTTGTGTTTGGAAACTACCTTGGAAACTACTGACAAAGTATAAAAAGGGCGGTTCCTCCCCCAGCGGGTCTCTTTCGTTGCTCCTACAATACAAGTACTTTTGAACTTGCTCAGGGGTTAACGACGGAATAACAATTTACTGTTAAACGTTTAAAAAATACTAGTGTTATGACTCGCGGAGATCCTGTTTGTCGGAGGGAGGATTGTTCTCCCTTCGACATTGGCCTAGTTTTCGACGAGATCCACAACTACTCGCCGCGTCAGAAGCTGGAGTTCGTCGAAAACGTGTGGAAACCAGGTGAGCTTTTTGATTTCCCCGTGTCAATGGAAAATGGAAAATCTCGTAAGTTTGTCTCGGGCTGGCTGAAAAGATTTCCATGGCTAGCTTACTCCAAATATTTCGATGGAGCATTTTGTTTAGCTTGTGTTTGTTTTGGAGTTCAGTGTGGGCGAAACGCTGATAAGTTAGACAAATTATTGAAGTCTCCTCTCACAAATTGGACTTCGGCCGCTTCTCGCTTAACCAAACACTCGCTAGGAAATTGTGAAATTCACAATTTTTCTATGACTGCTATGAGTGATTTCAAGAGAATGATGCAAAGAGGAGCTGTCCCAATTGACCAGCAGTTAAATAACATAGTTCAACAGCAAATCGCGAGAAATCGGGAGATTCTAAAGTCCCTTTTCAAAACTATTATTTTCTGTGGGAAAAACAACATCCCACTCAGGGGGCGGAGAGATGATGATCCCACTAATGCTGCCCTAACCGGTAATTTCCAGGCATTGCTAGAATTCCGGGTAGACAGTGGTGACCAAACACTGCAGCAACACCTGGACACTGCACCCAGAAATGCCACATACATTTCAAAGACCATTCAGAATGAAATGATAGAAACTGTTGGTGCTCACATTTTGAATGATCTATCACAGGAAATAAGAAATAGTAAGTATTTTTCAGTTATGGCAGATGAAGCTGCTGACATTTCAAATAAGGAGAATGTTTCTGTAGTAATAAGATTTCTGGATACAACTAAAACCATCCGAGAAGAATTTATTGGGTATTACATTTGTGAGGAGGGATTAACAGGGGAGGCTATCAAGGACATTATAACTGCAGCTGTAGCAAACTTAGGATTGACAATGGAAGACTGTCGTGGGCAGTGTTATGATGGTGCAGGCAATATGGCTGGAAGACTAAATGGAGCCTCCTCATTGATCAGTGCAGAACACGAAAAGGCAATCTATGTCCACTGCATGAACCACAGGCTTCATTTGTGCATAGCAGACACTTGCCAATTGCCAATTGTCAGGAACACGATGGATATTGTGCGCAAGATTTCTAATTTTGTTAACAACTCTCCCAAGCGTCAACAACATTTAATAGCCAAGATCAGAGAACTATTGCCTCGGGCAAACCATACTGTTTTAATTGATGTGTGCCGCACACGATGGATTGAACGGATTGATGGAATGGACCGCATAGTTGAACTTCTCTACCCAGTCACAGCTACACTTGAAGACATCTCACTTAACAGAAACAGCCCGGGAGACTCAACCTGGAATCCAACAAGCAGACATGATGCTCAGTCCTTAATTAATGCAATCAACTTTTCCTTTATTGTTTCTCTTGTTATTGTCAGACATATTTTGGGATTAACTAGACCACTCACAGTGAAGCTGCAACAAAAAAAAGCAATGGATCTTCTAAAAGCTAAAGATGAACTTGCTCTTTTGAAATCAGTCCTTGAAGACATGAGCACTGACATTGATAACAGACATCATAATTTCTACCAGGAAGCAGTGACCATTGCAAGACAAGTAGCAGTCCAGCCAGAAATGCCAAGGATAGCCCAGAGACAAATGCATAGAAATAATGCTCCTGCTGCAACTCCTGAGGGGTATTTCAAGATCAATCTCACTAGAGTTTTTCTTGACCATGTACTCCAGCAGCTCAACTCCAGATTCCAGGATGATGTATTTGTTTGCTATAAAGGTATTTCGATTATTCCCTCTGTTTTACTAGCTACTGACCCTGCCTGGAAGGCCAATGTTTTTTAATTTTGTAACCATTACAGACAGGACATACCAAATTATGCAGGATTACAGGCAGAGCTTTTGTTATGGGAGAGATTGTGGAAGGGAGGGATAACAGAGGAGATAATATTCCTGACAGTTTGGAGGCTACACTGAAGGATATTGACAAAGATGCATATGTCAACATCTATTCCATGCTGAAAGTCCTGATCACAATTCCAATTTCATCTGCATCTTGTGAGAGATCCATATCATCCCTTCGGAATCTTAAGAACTATTTGAGAAATACAATGACCCAGGACAGACTGAATGGATTGGCACTGATGCATGCCCACAGAGACATGGATTTTGACCTTGAACGTATAATAGATTTATTTGCTGAGTTACATCCTAGGAGAATGAGAATGGCAAACATTTTGTAATAATTTTTTTGCACCAGCTGTTTCTAGAGTACTTGTGAGTTATGTTCTGTCTGGGTTATGGCCTTTAAGTCTCATAATCCTTAAACTGATGGAGAACAGTACAGAAGCTCAAACTGGTGCCTGTATAACTTTTTTTTTTCAACTCATTTCAAGGTTATTTTCTATTTTGTTTTACTTGTGATGATTTTCCATTGACATTGACATTGGGTTTTCATGTTAAGCTTAAATGGTTAACAAACATCTTCACTGAACTCAACCAGCTTCACAGCAATTCCCAAGGATGAAGAAAGGCTAGTATTATTTCAAATTATCATTTTACTTCAATTTGTATATCATTTTATGATTCTTATAATTTATATTTTTCTAATAATTGTTTTATTTTTTGAATTCCAGCTCCCAACACAGGCTAACCATCCATAAAGCCCTTCTCTCTCTCTCAAATTCTTTTCTGTGTTGTGCTCCTATAAATGAAATGAATAAAAGCCAGCTCAGGAAATGTTGTTTTTAGTGTTGCTAAACATTTGGATTTATTGAGCCTGGTTTTCATTCATTTCATTCATTATAGGAGCACAACACAGAAGAAATTTGAGAGAGAGAAGGGCTTTATGGATGGTAAGCCTGTGGTCCCAAGGATGAAAAAGGCAAGTAGATTTTTATTATCAATCTTTAAACTATATCATCAATTGTGCTTGTTTTTCTTTTGTTATCAAAAACACTAACACTTGGTTCGTTTTTTTTTCTCCACATCTTGATTTTCCTGACTGGGAGGTGATGTTTTCCAGTGTGAAAAGTCTTGGTGACGACTTGGCCTTCCTGAAAATACTATATACACTGGTTTGCACAGTAGCTAAAGGTGGAATATTTGTAGATCAGAGTGTTTCCTGTAGTACTTTCAAGAAAAATAAATGTTTTTTGCCTTTTTGATTACATGCTTTTTTAGTCTTTTGGGGGCAATTAAATTTTCTAAAAATGCATGAAATGGCCTTTAGAGAGCTCCAAATTTCAAATTTTCTCGGGGGGGCATGCCCCCGAACCCCCCTAGCAGGAGTGGGTCCTCGGGTGGAAACTACTCACTCAAAATCCTGGATCCACCCCTGTGATGTATCAAGTGAAAACGACAGCCTACGAACACATACACAGAAACAAAAAGTTAGACCAAAACAGCTTCCCTTTCCCGCCAGTTTGCTGGAAGGAAAAAGTGATGATGTTATTGTTTCAGATATAAATGTCTCTGGTAAGTTGTCGTTTAGTTTTCAATTTCGAAATTAATGCGAAATGATTCTCTTCTGTAATTCCCGATTGACAGTGGTGTTTTTTCAAAACTTCAGGGTGGACGTGCGAGGAAGTCAAGGGGTGGGTCATGAACATCTTCAATGATGAGAGCATTGCGAAGAGATTTGTGGAAGAGGAAATAACCGGAACTACTTTACTCTCCCAACGTATTCTAAACGACAACTTGATGGAAAGGCTCGGCCTTAACACGATTGGGAAGAAAGAAAAGTTTTCTTCATCAGTTCAGAAACTAGGTTAGTAGAATTGAGCTTAAATATTTTAGATTAAGCTTACTGTGAGGCAGACACAGGGAGAAAAATGGTTTCTGTGAAACATTTATAATCCGTAAGCTTCTTTAGCCCCACTAGGCGAAAAATTTAGCATTTGATCACAAAGGATTAACTGGGAGAAATGCTTTCTTTTCAGTTTCCAATACATCTGTCAGTGAAGTTCTCGCGGGCTTCATGGTGTCACGTGGCTTTTCCCGCTCTGAAAGTGATTATTCCAGAGTAATTTTAAAACGTTTTCTTTATTTTTCTCATGGCATGGGCTTTTACCAGTAACTGAATTCCATGCTTGTATTGTATATTGCTTGCGTTGTCGATGTCCTCACATGGTTCTCTCCTTTCTCTTTTTTTTTTTTCTTTTTTCTTTTTTACTAGTCACTAAAAGAGGATCTGTAAATGCTTGTACTTCTGTGGCGGGTAAACAGCTGGATGGCAGAAAAAAAGGAAAACTAACCCTTCCAGATATCAGATATCTTGATCCTGCTACAAAGTCAATTTACCTAACAGTGTAAGCATGATGTAACTACAGTATCACTGTCAGAAAATGAATGTTTTCAGTGAAATGTGAAGAAAAAATATTTTGCAAGGCCTTTAGTCTCCGACTGTGAAGATCATAACAACAGGCATTTGCTTAGTGTTGAGTCAAATCAGACCAATAGATATTCAATATCTGGTCATTTGCACATGGAAATCATGGTACTTGAAGCTTGTATGTGGTGGTATTTTTAAGACTATTTATCTTCTTGCTCTTTCTAGGGTATTTTGACACTGCTAAATATCATCCAATACTCCTTGCCTCAAGAATTAATACTGCTGTATTTATTACTGTTTTAAAGCTACATCCTACTAACTACTTTTTTTTTTTTTATTCATAAGACGAACACGCATCCGTAGGGCCACAGAAAATGAGTTTCCTGGTAATGGTATTCCAACATTTAGAAGCAATCCAGAGGCAAGAAAACGACTGGACAAGTTAGTGAAGCAACTGGCCAATTCATGCTCAGTTGAAGAAGTTAACTTTGGTGAAGGTACACTGTAGCTACATGTAGACAAGTTGTTTTCGCTTCTAACAAATTTATTATTATAATGTTTCAAACTTCCATCATGTGTTTAATTGCAGAGGGTATCCGGTCACATACAATGTCAGTGCTCAATGAAAGAAGGATGGTCACCCTCGGATACAATTATGAGGAAGTATGTTTGAACAAAGGACCCCTCTCCATATTAACTTATTTAGAAAAGAGGAAGCTACCCTTAACAGCATACATTTTTTTGTGTGTTTATGTGCAGAGTTGTTCTCTAACATGTACTATATTGAACACATCTATTTAGGATAAAAGGAAGTCAAGCGAGAGTACAAGTGAGGGTGAAGGAAGCCCACCGTGCTCACAGATGAAAAGGCACAAAAGTGATCACATGTCAGATAATCAGAGTGACACTAAAGATTCCAGGTCAAGCAATGCTGACGATAACTGAAGAAGGATCAGGCACAAATGGTAATCGTCAATTATAAATTTAAAGGGTAATGTGTAGTTCCATAAAATATTCATACCTCCCCCACAAAAGGGATTCTTTTACAAGAACCCCCACCCCTCTGGAAAGTCCAATTAAACTTGATACATTTCTTTAAATTTTTTGGACTTTGAGAACCCCACCCCACCCCTCCCAGGAATTTCCAATCCCTTTTGTAGAGGGAGTATGAAGATTTTCTGGAACTACACAATGACATAATTTTTGTTTTATTTCTTTTGATAAGTTTAATTTTTCTATAGCGAGAGATTAAGTTCCAGTCGTTTCTTGCATTGTTGTTTTCAGTGGATCAGAGTTCGTGCAATAAACTCTCAGTTAAAAGTGCTGAAGTCATCACAATGGCAGTATTTAAAGAAACAAAAATGAAAGATGTAAAACTACACACGCAGATCCTACCAGCTTGCAGATATCTTAAAGTTGCTGGTGTCAGAGGGAAATCTAAGCCATCAGTAACAAAGCTTCTTGCTCAAGCATTTATTGACAAGGAATATGTAGTTGTTAATGAGTTAGAAAATTGCAACTTGGCCAATTTGACATTCAGCGATGTAACCGTGTCTTCTGATAAGGACATTGTAACAGATATAAAAGAGTGGCTGAAATAGGACTTTTCTTTTTAGTTCTTATTTGGACTACCAAGGAACAGTTAAGCCAAGGAAAAATAGGAGGAAGAAGAGGAAGTAGTGCATGTACGATTATCTCGATATTTCTTGCTGAATTGGCATCAAAATCTTGTAAGCTGTTACTGCCACATCATGGAAGGCGTTGTAATAAGTGGCATTCTGCTGTAGCAGAAGCGATTTCTGAAGGGAATAGTATATATGATAGATATTTTGATAAACCGGGCATACTTCTTGATGTTCATGATGTGGGGGAAATATATGAAACGAGCCTAGAGAAACATATGCACATTTCAGAAACGAAACCTGTTTGGTTATCGCCTTCAACTGATCCTTTTTCATGCACTTTGGGTTTTAATCTTACTCAGTTTTCCCTGCAAAGAGGGCAACATTTTGCTGTTTTTATTTGCCATAAAAAGTCAGTCTTAATTGTAAGTGATGGCACTGGTAAAGTCTTGGTTATAGATACCCATTTCCATGCTGATACAAACAGTGGAACATATTTTATTTATAGGAAAGCAGATGAGGTTGCATTGTATTTCACCAAAAATTACCCAGGGAAAACAGTTGTTACTCTAACAGAAGTCTCATTTGTAGTTCTTGTAGACTGAAATTACTTGTGCATGCACCATTGATATAGTTTTTACAGGTTATTGGGCTTAAAATAGAAAAACAGCTGTCTGGCATTTTCCCTTGTCTTTTTGTTTATGGTGAAAAAAATAAAAAAAATCACCCACCAGTTATATTTTAAAACACTGCCGAAGAATGAATCCATATTTATGACAAGGAGAAAAAAAAAATCAAAGATCAGTTTAATTTGATGCTTTAGGGTTACTTTACTTGTCATAGCTCTGAAATTTTGTCTGCATTTTGGCTTAGTCATTGGCAGCCTACTATTTTGAGCCCAGCTGTTTGTTGTTTAAGTTGAATATTAACCCTAAGTACATTAATGTACCACTGATCGATGGTGGTCCAGGAAAAGTACACTTTCAAATTAACATTGACATAAACTTGAAGTTGATTCATTTTTAAGAGTAAGCTGCATTGCAGACCAGAAATCTTAACTGGCAGGTACGTTTGAGTATTTGCCTATAATGTTGTGTTAAAACATATTGCAATAATATTTCACATATTAATTAACCTTATATATCATTCATTTTTGTGCATGCACTTGTACTAAAGTATAGTGATATGTAAGGAATGCATTGAGTTGATTTCTACATCTTGACAAAGTTGAATTATAGCTGGCTTTAGTAATACACACCAAGTTCAGCCAGCTCCAGATCTTTCAACATCTATCTTTGGATAACTGCTTTGTGTGGTATGGAGTCAGTTAGCAGGTCATTGATCCTTAAGCATGGCAGATTTCTCAAATGTTTCTGATAGCAAGTTTAGGACTCCACTTTTGATCATGTATTCAGATTTATAATAAACTTCAAGACTATAGTTGTAAAATTTGTATTTTATTGTCAATTGACTTCACATCACTGGCCTAGTTATACTTAGCATTTGACAGCCCTCATGATGCTTATTCAACACTAGTTGATGCAGAAAGCCAATTATATATATATATATATATATATATATAGGCTACTTATTATTGCATTGTTATAAAATATATTGTTTTATTGTAATACTTTTAATGGCAACATATCTGCTTTGTACTGCATTGTCCTAATAAAATGGAAAGTTGGAGTTACATTACTTCTTGGCTTACACAGAGAGGGTTTCATCCTTATCTTGTAGACAAATCAATATGTATTAAAAACCTTCCTCAAACATACTGGAATTCTTATATATATTAAATTAGCTTGTCTCAGCTATTATTAGCGATGTAATATGTGAGAACTTTGATGCGAAATCTTTTGTTTAAGGAAGATTTATCTTACAATTACTACTACTACAATTACTACTGTTGGTATAGCTTCAGTTCCAAGGAAGGCCTATTTGATGAAAATTAGAGCTCCCAATGGTGGAAGAGCTGAAAATACTAAAAAATTGGGAATTCAATAATCCCAAACAATTGTAGAAATTGGGACTAATATATTCTTGAATTCCCATTTCAAGTTATGTTTGGGTTTTAATTGGTAATTTTCAAATAACCCAACATAAAACAATTTGAATTCCCAATTTGGAAAGTGGAAATTGCTATAAATTCCCTTTTTGTTTCTCATGAAAACCCCATTTTTGAAGGCGATTCCCAATTCTGGGATATTGTAGAATACCCAAAAATGGGAATCTACAATACCCAACAAGATGGACATTGGGAACAGTCTCACATTCCCAATTTAGGCAATGTTTGGGTTTTTCTTGGGATTATTTTAGAAACTCATTAATATCCCATTTAATTACCAATATGGGAATCTGCCATTTTTTCCTGTGAAAACCATCTAAAACTACCTACAATCGACTAAGAGAGTTCTCTGAGTACCACATTGATAGTTTGCTCCTCTGGAGACCTCTGTAATCAATTTCACTTTTTGGGACCGCTTCACACGTTTCGTACTGCTTTCTTGTACTGAATGAAAGTTCTCTTACTTCACATGAAAATGTAATTAACTGGGTGCCATTGTTAGACATTTGTTGATACATTTGTGCAATTTTGTTCTCTTTGACTCAAGTTGTCAATTGAAAAATGAGATCGACTGTAATTTAGTTTTCCATAAGGAAATTATAGGAACAATGATGGCCTTTGTAACTCCTATTTGTCGAGCACAATGATAGTCTGAATCATTCATCTACAGCTGGCCTCTTAAACCAACCAGCCTACTATCTCCATCTCGAGCTAAGATAATATTTCTTTGATTTTTGGTTGTTTTAGATGGTTGCACTGAGGTAGTTTTAGGTGGTTGTACTGAGGTGGTTTTAGATGGTTGTACTGAGGTAGTTTTAGGTGGTTGTACGGAGGTGGTTTTTAGATGGTTGTAGTAAGGTAGTTTTAGGTGGTTGTACTGAGGTGGTTTTTAGATGGTTGCAATTAGGTAATTTTAGTTGGTTGTGCAGAGGTGGTTTTAGATGGTTGCACTGAGGTAGTTTTAGATGGTTTAAGATGGTTTGCTTATAGATTGTTTAAGATGGTTTAAGATGGTTTAGGGCCTGGTTACATAAAGGTGGGGGACCCTTGGTAGTTGAGGTAACCTGCCTACCTGTGGTTGAGAAATAGCCTGTGTTAATGTTCAATCTTACAACCTCAGGAACTCTAGCAACCCCAGCAAGATACATTGACCCACCTTGGGATTTTTACATGGCAAATTGCCATCCCTGTTGGGAGACATTCTCCTAAGCAGGTCACCCTGCCTATCATGTAAATATGATCAAGATAAAGTAAGAGATTATATGGATAGGCAGGTTACCTCACCTTGGTGGAGTCCCCCAAACTTCAAGTAAACAGGCCCCTATGATGGTTTTAAGATGGTTTCAGTTGCTTGTACATGGCTTTAGATGGTTTTAGTTGGTTGTAGATGGTCTGAATCAGTTGTAGATCAGGTTTTAGTTGGTTGTGGATGGTTTGAGTTAGTTGCAGATGGTTTGAGGTGGTTGTAGATGGTTTGAGTTGGTTGTAGATGGCTTGAGTTGGTTGTAGATGGATACAGATGCTTCCAGATGGTTTCAAATGGTTACAGATCATTCTAGATGTTTTAAGAAGGTTATAAATGGTTCCAGACAGTTTAAGATGGTTCTGAATGGTTTTAGTAGATTCATGATGGTTGCCAATTTTTTTTACATGGGTCAAATGATTTAAGATGGGTTTATATGGTTTTAGATGGTTTCAAATGGTTTAAGATTACTTTGGATCCTTTTAGTTTGTTTTCAGGTGTACAATTATTGGTTTTAGTTTGTGTTAAGGGGGTTTTTGGTCAGGCCATGCTTTAGTGTTTTCCTTTCTTTGCAACTTTTGTGTTTCCTACATAAGTTTCGTCTTATATATTAATACAGTAAAAACCCAATTGAACTAAGTGTTTTGAATAAGGTACTACATACGAGGATGTTAATGCAGAAGGTCATATTCACAGTTGACTTCTGATAACTTTCATATGTTATTCGAGCCAGCAACTAGCAAATGAAACAAAAGTCATTGGGGTGCTTTAGATTTAAATGTTTTTTATTCATTTGCTATCGCTATTTTTTTCCTCTCTCTCTCTCTCCCTCTCCTCTCTTTGTGTCTCTCTATCTTTCAATTTGTTTTTATTTGTTATTTTGCATCTTTTTCAGTATTTTAAGATAGACAAAATTGATGTGGTATTTGTACCGCACAATATAGATACAAAAAGAAATACTTTTAAAGAAATCTTGAAGAAGTTCAGAACTTTAATTTTATGGGACTGCATGCACAGACCTCTCCTCCCAGACTTTACAAATTAGAGCATATAATAACAGTTTCCTTTTTTCAATACCCTTTTTAGCTACTGTTCAATGTCATCTAACTGTTTTAAGTCATATTAATGTGATAAAGTAACTAGAAAATATATTTTTCCAATTGAATAAAGAGAGAAAGTTTCTAAAGAACCTGTGGTGCTGCATTTGTGGGGAAATATAGCAAGAAAATTCTGTTTTATTTACTGAGTTGATAATATGAATTTACCATCATAAAGTGCTTCAAAGTTGACTTTTTGAGTGTCAGCCCTAAAGTAGCTGTGACTGCATGTGTGTTGTCAGTGACAGTTAGTTCAAAGTTTTCTTGTTTGTCAAACTGCTAAACCAGTTAGAATTTTCCTTTTCTTGGTTTTTTCTTTTAGTATGAAACATTACTTTTTTTCTGGTTAGCACTGGATAAACAACCACAATGCGAAGTGTAGTAGTGGTTCCAGAGTGCTAATGATGGACACAAGAGGACAGAAAAGAAACTAATGAGGAAACAAAGTGGCTTTAATGCTTTCACAGGGGAGTTTCTCCACAAAGGTAGTCATTCTTGATCTAGCTAAATTTGTGCTTTACATCTTACCTTTTAAGTTGAAAAATGCATCATGTCCTTTTATTCCACAGAACAAACTGGTGGAAGTGCAGAGGTCTTTCGCACCATCGGAGAAAAGTGGAGGAACTTGTCTGACTCAGATAGAGATGCCTACAAAAAGGTGGCAACAGATTCAGGGTCAGCTGTGTCACTACCCTCAGCTGATAAACAAGCCAAGAAGATAATTGGCAACATCATGAAACAGGTCAGCTAGTAATAATCATAGTCATTATCATCATCATTATTACAAACTTACAATGATATTTATCACATTTTGTGATGTGAACTTTGTGGTTTATAAATGACCAAGTTCAACTCACCAAGCTGTATAAAGACTGGATTGACAAGTTCTTGAAATGATATACCCAATACATTTACTGACCTTATGATTTTGTTTAATTTGAAAACTGGTCTTAAGTTGTGCTATAATAGCAAACAAGCATTTCGTATTGAATTTTTCTGTTCGACATTGATTATAATTGAGCAGCATTAATTTATCAGTTTTCTTATTGTTACATTTATATTACTGGTAGATTGACTGTTGTCAAATAAAATTATGATATTTATCTGTGTGGATTGTAATTTAAGATGTGCCAAAAATTTTCCCCTTTCTTATAATTTTACAGTTGGTCACCAGGTGTCTCAGCAAGCTCTTAATAAACAATGAAAGTTATTCTTAAACTTACTCATAATTACCTGTTTTAAATATCTTACTTTTTGGGTTTTTTCTTTTCCTTGATTTACACAACTTTCTAAGTATGCAAGCTCAGTAATTTTCATGTAATTAAATGTTTGTCACCATACACTCCCATCATGGAATACAACTTTAATCCAGCACTAAACAAACTGACATTGCTTAAGTAATGAGTATATATATGTTATTACACTTATTTGGTTCTTCTAATTGTTACCAATCCTTATCAATGTTTTACACAGGTTATTGCAGAACTGGAAACACTTGGTGGTCATGCACTGATGTTATGTGCTTATGATGGTGTTTGTTACCAAGGTTCAGCTGGGATTGGTGACAGCCTTTTAAAAACAAACATCATGGAAACATTTGCAGGTAGATTACACTGTGAGTACTGACTGTAGATATGAATTAATTGGCACTTTACTCTTGATATATACTTTCAGGAGCTCATTCTAATTTTACTTGTAATGTTGAAATCTTTCTGCAAATTTTTGCCCTTGAGAATTTGTGAATTGGATTTTTCCATACATGAGTTGATGAAAAAAAGAAAAACAATTAGTAAAACCAATTACCTGTTAGTTCCAATTTGCATTTCATTCCTGCACTCAAAACATAAAAAGAACCTCAAAAAAAAGTTATCGAGAGCAGTAGTCCCGGTACTCAATTTCTGTTACTCTAAGTGTACATCTATGTTCTTAAATATCAATATAATCTCAGTATATTAAAACAATAAATGAATCTCAATGAAATTCACTACATTGATGCTTAGATCAACAACTTATTACACCAAGCATCTCGTTTCTTAAAAACTTAGAAAAGAAAGCATTATATTTCCAGTGAAAATAGGTCCTTAATTTATAGGTAATTCACTGGTGGAAAAGCAAGACGTGTCAGTAAAACATCTACAAGAAGTGTTCAACTTCAAATACAGTATGCGTTTTTATAGCATATATTTGCCTTTCTCCATGCACGTGGGAATTAAGGTCTTCGAAGATCTAGCTGATGTTCCTTCAAATTATTGAAAAATATCTTTGTTTTCTCTTTCCACTGAAATGGCCGCATTCAGTTTCAATTGACCCATGATTGAAAACTACATCTCCATAAACTACTATTTGAAGCATTTAAGGGGTCAATAGCTGTTTTACACTCAGCTTCTGCCTTTTCTGTGATTTGTTGCAATACGAAAAAAAGTCATTCTTCTTTCCCAATATAAATTTTATTTCTGCTTTTAATGTATTGATGTGGTAATTCCCTTTATCTATGGCTATGATTTCTGTATAAGTGTCATAATTATTCAACGCAACAAGGAGTGACTTTTAGCTTCGTTTTTTTTTTCCAGTCAATTTCTGTCTTTGTCTTTTGTAGGTTAACTTGTCGGAAACAGAGGAAGTAAAATGCCTTACGCTAAGATACAGCAATTGGGAATTTCATTTAATAACCTTCCCTTGGATTTAAAGAAAGAGATTGGTGTTATTCCGCGTAAACCGTCTCTTTACGGAAGCGGCCAGCGCCGAAAGCTGTGGCTCGCCCGTCATGACTGGAGCTTTGGAATTTCTTTGCCTGTACCCTCCATGGATAGTTGCACGACCCCTTCAGCTACCACTCACACATCAACTTCTCCTACGCCCACTCCTTCCCTTGTTAATTCGTCGACCTCCTGTTAATTAGTACTCCCGGTTTAAGTTAAAAACCACTGCTATTCACAACCGTAACAATACCAACTCACAACAAACTAACTACTAATAGAACTTACAAAACACCTCAGTCGAAAAGATGAAATTTACACGATATACATTCTTCTTTCACTTTGACACAACCTCATCTCACACAAGTTCTTTAAGTGTTTATCAGTCATCTGCAACCAAAGCCACAGTGAGTGTTGACCACTGTACTTCCCGCGCATCCATTGTTCTTGGTACTCCTTCCTAATCTCAACGCAGCACTTCCTCTGTTGCTGGTTTTATCGTTTCCAAAGGTGAGCAAGTTTTTGTGTCTAGTGCATTAGCACGCAGACACGATGGAAGAGCGTACGGAATTCGAAAAGCACTTTATATACGCCACATTTGAGCACGAAATATGATGTTTTACTCATAGTTTACCTTACGTTACGGATAACATGAATTGTACACTGATTTTCAACCAGTGGAATGTGTAACCATGTCGATATTTCATCGTTATAATTTCGGAAACTGTCGGTTGACCAATTGGATTCAAGTAGAAAACCGCAAGGAAGAGTCGGGAGCAATTGAATTCGGGGACGAAAATATGACGATGACTCTGATCTTTGACCACCATGTGCTTTTACCCGTGCCTTGAGGAAAGGAGGAATTTCACACTTGTGGATCACACTTCGGAAAGTTGGTGAGTGTCCTTTTGCTCTTGTAAACTTTATGATGAACTTCTCAGTATGCCACAGCTTTCGAAGTTTGAGTCAATGTGGTCGAGTAAAAGACTTTAAAGGATGTTTTCAAGTGTTCGATCGATGCTCTCCACGCCAACAGAATAGTCATGCTGCGGTGTTGTTTACGATGCGTAAAGGAAAGAACTTCAGCTTCGTGAGCTCCATTTGGGGAAAAGAAAAGGCCTTAAAGGCAAACATTGAGCCCCTTTTGGGGAAAATTGAGCCCCTTGTGGGGATTATTGAGCCTGCCCGTTTGGAGATTACACAAAATGTATATAGAAGAGCGAGAAACCTGACTGATGTTAAAGGAAAGACTCCTTTGACTGACGAAACATCTGCGAAAGCTGTGGTATATATGAACAGAAAAAGTTATGTTAGTAGCAGTAGAAATGCGAATAAACGTAATTTAAGCGATTTCTCGAAAACAACTCATGTGGATATGTTGTGTTCACGTGGAACAGATGAAATTGATACACATTTCAAAATAGCTGACCAAAAACAAAAGAAACGACGTAGAAACCGAGAGCCGTCGAGGGTCTTGATGAAACGGATTGTGCAGTTTATGAAAAAAAGAAAAACGAGATATAAACTTAAGGTCATCATTAGGAAATATATTCCTAAGTCTTCAAGGTTATACAGCTTTGCTACTGACTATAAGTTGTGTTACATAAGATATCTTAAGAGATGTGACAGTTTTTTCACCAGCTTTGTTAATCTAAGCAAACCAATCGTAAATAAGCTTTTAAAGAAATCAAGCAGCCATTCTAGAAGATTTTCTGTATCAAGAATGAAGCTTATGACTTCAGGTGATATTGAATTAAATCCAGGCTCTCAACTACATGTAAATGTCAACACTGGAACTACAGTATCAGTTGGTTCCACCATATTGTTAAACTTTCGGTTACGTCACCTGGGATTGAGACCCCTAGATGTTGGGGGTGCTGGTGACTGTTTTTTTAGAGCTGTTTCTCATCAGTTATATGGTGATCCATGCCATCACTTGCAGCAGTAAAACATTATAATTCCAGAGCAGGGGAAAACTTTAATGAAGCTAAAATATTATTGCTTGCCCCCTACTGGAAAAGCTGCTTATGGTATCAAAGGGAACATAGTACATAGTGCCTTGGCAATACCAGCATGCCAGTCTCTAAAGACATATAAACCTCTTGACTCAAGCAGACTAAATACCCTCAGATGTAAACTTCGTGCTGTTCAGCTTATATTTCTTGATGAAATATCAATGATAGGCAATACTATGTTAAATGTCCAAATAAATTATAGACTTAAGGATATCAAGGGTAGTAAAGAGGTATTTGGAGGTATTAGCATAATTGCATTGGCTGATTTGTTTCAACTAGAACCTGTTATGGACAGTTATGTGTTCAAAGATATGAAGAACTCAGATTATGGATCTCTTGCCCCCAATTTATGGCAAGAACATTTTACAATGTTTGAACTGGACGAAATTATGAGACAAAGGGAAAGTAGAGAATTTGCTCAAATTCTAAATTGATTGAGAGAAGGTAATCACACCCAAGATGATATTGCAAAACTGAAAGAAAGATGCATTTCAGAACACTGTATGAATTACCCAATTGATGTTCCTCATTTGTTCATTCAAAACTCAAAAGTTGACGAGTTTAATATTAGAGTTCACAGGGCAGCTACTGGTGACAAATATACCATCAAAGCATTGGATAGTGTTATAGGTGCAAATTCTCCAGAACTCAGAGATAAAATCTTCAAGCAAATACCACTGGATCCCAGGAAAACAAAGCAATTAGCTTCAAATCTTCAACTTGCTGAAGGGGAAAGAATAGAAATAGCAATAAATGTAAGAACTGATGATGGTATCACAAATGGTGCTGGCGGCATCATCAAGATGATAAAATTGTATGACACAAATATACCATCTGGTATAATTTGGGTTCAATTTGACTACGTGGATGTTGGTGAGAAAACCAGACGTGACAACAGACATGTGTATGTCAATGGCATTGAACGCACGTGGACCCCCATCAAACCTGTTACTGCACAATTTGCAGTTGGAAGAAATAGGACAGCTCAAGTTGTAAGAAAGCAGTTTCCACTTAGACCTGCAGCAGCAAAAACAATACATTGATCACAGGGTGACACTGAAACTAGAATAGTTGTTAACTTTAACACCAGAAGAGCAATACCTCATGTACATTATGTAGGACTGAGCAGAGTAATAACCATTGAGGGATTGTATATTACTGACCTTTGTGAAAGCAAAATAGTTGTTAATCCTGAAGTAAAAGCAGAAATGCAACATTAAAGAAAAGACCGGCACCTCAAGCTTTCCATAATTCCAATTTATAAAACAGATCCAACAGCCTTTAAGATATGTTTTCTTAATTCAAGGTCATTGCATAGACATATTGAGGACATAAAAAAAGACTTAAACTACTCAAACATGGATGTAAATGTATTCTCAGAAACACAGTTATGTTACTTAGACAGTGATACTGACTACAGCATCACTGGGTATACCCTATTTAGAAATGACAGTCAACTTGACGTTTTCAGTACAAGACCTTATGGTGGAACTGCAGTGTACAGTAAAATTCCTTTTCTACCTGGATATCCAGTTTGCAACAACACTGGTGGTGTTGAAATAACTATCATTAAGGTTACAACAGTTCCACATATTACCATAATAGGCATATATTGGTCTCCAAGGGTGCCAATTAGACAAATGTGTGTAGCATCGATCGGACTTCTTACCCTTGATATTTCAGATTTCAAAGTTTTCATTGGCGATTTCAATATCAATTGGTTAAATGAAAAAGACAAGATTCCTCTTTATAATCTATTTATAAGAGATCACAGTTACAGACAACTGGTATCATGTTCTACTACTAATAACAGTATAGCCGCAAACGCTAATCACTCGTATTTCAAACTTTACTAGAACAAACTTGACACACTGTTGAATACGGTAACTGAAAATGACAAAATTACAATCACGCGAATGAGCATAAAGTAACTTACATCGTATGAGTGAAAGTACTGGAGAACGACAAAGCGAAATAAACAAGGATACTTACAAGACGAATGTGACCAAACCAAAGACGAAAACATGAAACCCAGAGCTAGATATGTAACGACAATTTTCGCAAACTAGACAACTAACCAAATAAATTACGCGCAACCAATCTATATACCATATGCAAATAAATATAACAAGTACAAAACTGGTAACTGACAAAGGACACTAATGGAAGACGAGAAAATAAACACCTAACACGAAACTATGAAACACCAACACTAACAAAAAATGATAATACAAATTCTTGCGCCTACAAACAGAACCACTATAGACCATGTCTACACTAATTTACCTGAATCACAAATCCATGTACACATTTTAGAAACTTATTTTTCTGATCACAAAGCAATCTGTGCATTGATTCAAAAATAGACCTTTATGGTTTTCTTGTCACCTTCAATGTAACTTACATGTGTTTTTCTTTTTGTCTTAAAGAGAATATTCATAGTTAATGAGTACAAAAAAATTAAATTAACTCAAATGTGCACCTTAGATACCAATCATGCACTGTGATTGACATCTAAGGGGTAATCTGCAGATATGTGATATGCAACACATATCCAGGTATGTTTATTATATGATTATTGCTTTTGTGCCCTGTAGTACCTACAGATTGCAGTTTTCTTTGATACCTGTTCTACAACCCACAGTTACTGATAACATTTATTTCTCTTCGCTCTCCAGGTAGACACACCTCGGTTGTAATAGACAACAACAATGAACAACCTAACAGGATACATTCATAACATATCCCCTGTTAAGCACTCCAACAAGACTCGCTATTTTGATATGCTTATTCAAACAGAAGCGACCAAAGTACGTGGAGTCTTTCTCTTCAAGCAAGCATCTTGAAGTTTTGAAAGATGCAGCAAACAAAAGTCCCCAGTAAAGATTAGCAACTTCACTATTAAAAATGGCAGTGTTCTCATGAATGCAAGAGTCCAAATAGAGGAACTGAAGGAGGTCACTTTTCTACGAGAAGAGATTTCCTCGACTCTAAACATCTCGATGCTCTCGAATGTCACCAATAACCAGCTTATTATCTCAAAGCCAAAGTTGTCCACTTATCTGGAGTGAAGAAAATAATCACAAGAGATGGCACAAAGTCGAAAGCTGATTGTTGCCTCCTAGATCCATCTGGATCAATCAAACTAACCCTGTGGGAGGACCTGATTACAGAAGTTGCAGAC